GGGCGGGGGGGGGGACCTGGTACCAGTCTGCAGGTGTGTTAAGGGCTGTGTGGACGAGAAAGGGATCAATCGCTCTCCTTGTCCACCGAGGAACGCGCTTACTCTGCAGCAAGGGAGAGTTCGGTTAGCGATTGGGAAAGACTCTCCGGTTCTAAGGACAGCTCAGCACGGGCACAGGCTGTGGACTCCTGTCATTGGAGGTTTGTAAGAACAGGTTAGACAGACCCCTGCCGGGATGGGTGAGGTGACCCTGGCCCTGCCTCAGGGCAGGGGGACAAACTGCCTGGCCTCTTGAGGGCTCTTCCAGCCCTACGTCTATGATTCTATGAATGTAGCCGCCCGAGCTGGAATTCAGCCAGAACACCAGGCACCCGCCATGGTCTAGCGAGATCCCATCAGTCAGGACCTTGGCTTGGCCGCTCACCTGAAGAGCAGCGCTTACAACGACTCAGCGCCCGGGGAATGCCAGGCTCGGGCATTCGTTCTGGGCCTTAGTTCAGGGCGATGTGACTGCCGATGAGTGTGAGGGACTAACGAGAGACTGGCGGAGAGGGAGAGATACGGGGCAGGCGGGCACAGACAGGCAGAGAGGAGACGTCAAGTCCCTTACCACCATGATCTGATTGCCTGGGGACAGAGACATCTCGTCGGCCACGGAGCCGGGAGTGACCCTGTGAATGAAGATGCCCGTCTGGTTGCCCCCGATGATGCTGATCTGCTCCAGCAGGGCAGTGCCGTGGAAGGCAATGGTGGTGATGCGGCTCAGGATGCGCCGTGCGGGCCGCCGGCGAATGGGCGTGCTGGGGAGGGAAGGGAGACACTTCATGTGAGGCAGTGGAAACAGCCAGTTCCAAGCAACCCCTCCTCCACCCTGCACCACCCCACTTCCCTTCAGGGAGTTCACACTAAGGGCCCAGCTGCTATCTCAAGAGGTGACCCCGGAAGCTCAGCTACCCCCCATCTGTGCTAAACAGGGCAAGTGTGGCAAGGAACCAGCGCTAGCCAGAGGCAAAGCTTAATAGGTGCCGAGGTTTGCTGGGGGTCAACCCCAGCCCCTCCTCTGTCAGTGGCGTGTAGCACTGTGCACACGTGTGGAGGAGAGGTGGGGGTGGCCCTTGGGCTGCAGCCAAGTGACTATGGGATTCCTGCCTTAGACAGTCCTCGCTCAGGAACAATGGGACCGCAGCAAGCTTGGGCGTGAATTTACCCGCATTAGCCTGCGCGCTTGGTCTGACTCTCGTGTGCACCCGGCTGAGGTGCACTTACAGCTTGTCGGAGCCCTGCCATCTAGTCCTCCTTGAACTAGATCAAAGGCAGCAGCAGCCCCTCTGCTGAGCAGCACCCCTGGATTTCTACCCCGGAGCTGGCTGAGAGCTCAGCACGCAGTGCGTGACTGCGAGAACACAAACAGGAGCTCTGCCCAGGGAGCGCTGCGTCTCCGGAGCTGGCCGCCTAGGAGTTCTCACCAAGATCCCAGGGACCAGGCCCTCACCCTGCTTTACTCCAGGCTCCCGTAGGGCAGAGCCCTCCCTAATGGGGGGCAGAAATCCGTGGGCAGCGTGACGTACCTCTCAGAGGCCGACGGGTCTAAGTCGAGCAGCTGGGCATTGCCCTCTGAAATGAAGGACAGTTTGAACCAGTGGAGGCAAAGGGACAAGCAAAGGAGGATGAAGAAAACCCCGAAACAGGCCCCTCCCCTCAGTAGTCTCCCCCCGGCACCCCTGGCAGCCTGGGCAGGAGGCAGGGTCCATTGCTAGCACCACACCCATTTGGCTGGTGAGCCCAGAGATCAGCTGTCACCCAGCCTGCTGCACCGGGCACAGATACGGCCCCCGGAGCCACCTGCTGGGCCCCTTGTGGGGATGGCACCTGGGCTGGGAGGGCCTGCTCTGCAGCAGAGGATCCCAGACTTCGGGTCATGGTGGCCCTATTAGTGCATTAGTGGGGGGAAGGGCTGGAGATAACAGACAGGGCGAAGTCACGAGACCCTCAGCTCCCCGTGGAAACAAGGCGCTTGGGTCATGCCCTTGGGTGATGCAAGCAGACAACAGAGTCTGCTCTCAGCTGCTCGTTGCCAGTAGGGAAAGGAAACACCCACCGTCCTTCTCCACCATCTCATACTCCAAGTCGGACGACTCCGCCTTCTCCCCTGCAATGAGACTGAAATCCACCTCCAGGAACTCCTGGGAGCTGCTGCAGGGGACAGGAGAGAGGGGACGAGGCAGGTCAGCTTGTGCAGAAGAGAAGAACGTGCCCCTCCCACAGCATCCCGCTGCACAGCTGGAGAGACGGGGAGCCACGCGGCCCAAGCAGGAGGGTTTCAAAAGCCCTGGCTAGTGGCTAACGGAACATATAGCCTGGCACATGGGGGCAATGCCAAGCAGAAGGCCCTGTCGCATGAGCAACCCTCTGCCCCACCCAGCAAGCGACGTGCTGCTAGGAACAGGGCAAACCAGGGCTGCAGCATGTGCCACCCTGCAGAGGCTGGAAGAGATGGGGAAGCCCCAGTGCATCCGTACCTCGTGGAGAGGGAGCTCTCTAGGTACTCCTGCGTGGCTCTCTTCTGCAGGGAGAGCTTACAGGGCGGGACAGGGCTGCACGACCGGAAGCTCTCTGGCAGCTCGTGGCTCGTCTTCACGCCGAAATCTGAGCACAGCTGCAAGGGAGGGAGCCATTAGCGTGAATGGCCATTGCTAACCTCTCTGTTCATTCCCACGCCCGGGCCCCCACGTGCCAGGCTCATGCCCACGGAGCTGTGGCCAGAACAAGGCAGGCCCTGCCCTCCCCTCAGCAGTAGGGCTTGGTGGGCCCTGACCCCTGGCTGTCATCATGCCACGAGGGGAACTGCCGGGGGGAAAGGAGCCTCCCCAGGGCTGCGTGGGAAGACGAGGGGCTGGGGGCGGCAGGAAGGGTCCCGCACCTCGGACACGCTGAGGCTGCCCTGGTTCTCGTCCCCGGGGCAGATGGCATGCATGCGCACCAGCCGCTGTTTCCTCTTTGGCCACTGCTCCCCCGGCTCCAGGCTAGCGAGACCTTCCCCCTTCACCTGCCGAGCAAGCAAACAGCACAGAGAATGGGGTCAGAAAGAGCGGCCATGGGCGATGGTATAATAGGCTAGGGAAGGCTGTGCCTCCCCAAACAGCCCCACGTGGCCCTGCCCACACTCCGTCCCAAGGCCCCCTCCTGCTGCTAGCTGGCCCCGGCCCAGCCTGCGGGGGCTGGGGATAGGGCAGCTGGGACGGGGCTGCCCAGCGCTGGGGGGACCCCCTGTGCCGGGGCCGCGCCACTGAGCGCTCCCAGGCTGAGGGGGAGGCCGCGTGCCATCCGCCGGGTGCTCTGGGGCAGGGCTACGCACCACCTGCCCGCCGGCCCAGTGTTCCGGGGCTGGAGGCACTCGGGTGACCCATGGCGGAGGGGAGGGGGGGGTCTGTGCTTGGGGGCAGAAGTGGGGTGGGAGGGGGCGGAGCCTCAGGCGGAAGGGGTGGGCCCAGCCAGGGGCTAGCCTCCCCAAGCCCATTGTTCACCCACCGCCCATGAGGGCCGCACTCCCACGCGGGAAGGGGGTGCGGGACAGGTGTTACCAGACGGGCTGACACGGGGATCCCAGCTTGTGCCCTTTGCTCTCAGATTCCCATCGCTTGGGGGGGTCTTGGCTGGTGGCCAAAAAGCCGTGATCTGGCCTCTGGGCTGGGCACAGGACCAGCTGGATTTCACAGCACAAAGAGCGCCCCAGCCTCTCACCCCGTGCACCCTGCTGTCCTGCTGCTGACTGGCCTGCTTCCTCAGCTCACAGATCTGGTCCGTCAGCTCAAACACTTTCCTGCGGAGGGAATCCTTCTCCAGCAGGTTCTGGGAGATCTCCAGCTGGGCCGCGTCCCTCGCGCAGTATGCCTGGGGGGACAAACACATCAGGGACAGGAGGTTTGGAGCAAAGTGCTGGGGATCCCTGGGCGAGGCACAGCCGGGTGCAGAGGGACAGACACTGACAGTGTGGTCAGGGCAGAGAGCGCGAGAGACCGGCTCAGGGCTGCATGACTTCACAGAGAAATGGGGGAAGGGGAAGGAGGCCATGGCTACAAACAACAGGCACCCGGGCTAGCCAGCTGAAGCCCAGCCCCGCGGCACGAGGGAGAGGCCTTGTGGTCACTGGGCTCCAAACACAGCCACAAGCCCAGCGAGCTGAAGAATCTCCATTCACTGTGGCTTGATCAATCCCAAGGCCAGCAGAGACCACTGGGACCACGTGGTCTGACCCCCTGCATGACACCAGCCAAAGAACGCCCCAAAATCCGTCTGTGCGCTTGCGGCCACCTTGTTCAGCACCAGGGTCTGAACCAGGGACCTGCAGAGCTGACAGCACCAGCCGCGAGTGCTTGAGCTAAGGAGCCCAGCTGTGTAGTGGGGGCTGTAACAGAATCCCATCCTCTGGGGAGCAGGCCCAGAGGAGACACCCCCTGAGCAGGGGATATACATGCAATCTGCCACTCCCATACAGAGGAAGGCCTCCACCCCCACCCAGCCAGGCGGGCAGGGAGCCCTGGGTACCTGATCTCGCTCCTTCTGCAGCTCGGCCACTTGCCCCTGCAAGGCACTGATTTTCTCCTTGTAGATCTCACAATCCACCTTCATTTTGTGGCACTCAATCAGGGTGTGCTCCTTCTCCTCCCAGTACTGAAGGGAGACACAGGGAGTCAGGTGGGCAGCAGGGTCAGGAGGGAGCCAGCAAAGGGGACAGGTGAAAGCCCCCAAGAACAGTTGTCCCGCCCTGAGGGAGACGGATCCTGGATCTGGTCTCCCAAGGTTACCTGCAGTCCCCTGCATAGGCCAGCTTGGTGGCCCCCTTGGCCAGATTTCCATGCTGTGTGGCAAGGCAGGGCTTTCACCCATGTGGTTAGTGGGGCCAGCCAGCAGACGACACCCCATGGGGTGGGGAAGGAGGTTGGGAGAAGATGCCCTGCTCCATAAACCTCAGGTTTGCCTTTGATCCACTCCCCATTTTAGGGGTGATTCCTCCCCCCTGCAGCACCTGTTCCCAGTTCCTCAGGCCTGGCAGCTCTGACCTGCTTGCGCTGATTCTCAGCGATCACTGCCTGCTCCCTCAGCGAGTGGATTCGATTGAGGAGCTCCTGTTTGCCCTCCAGAGCCTCATCCAGGTTCTGCTCCAGGATATCCTTCTGCACCTGGCCAAGCAACACCAGCGGGTTAGCGGGGCTCCCCCAAGGTCCGGAACGAGGCTGCTGCCCAGGCAGCTCTGTGCATCCTGGCTAGACCTAGGGGATCTGCCTCCCCAGGAAACCCTGTTCCCACCAGGCACCCCGTGGCTCCCGGACTGCCCACGAGGGAGCTGGGAACTAAGGGGGAGGCTTTACCAGGCTGAAAGTCTCCAGCTCCACCAGTGACCGGAGCTTCTCGTTTTCCTCCCTCAGCTGCAGCAGCTCATCCAGCTGTGGCTGCGGGTCGCTGGGCATGTGCAGGGACCTCTCCCTCTCGTAGTAGGTCTCCACCCTGGCTCGCTGCAGCTCCTGCTTCATCAGATACAGCTGCCAGAGGACAAAGAGAGCACAGGTCCCTAGCATTGCACTCGGCTGCGTCGTGCCAGCTACACTACGCCCGGCGTTTACTCTAGAACCCGGCGTCTAGAGTGGGAAAGGCTGCCTTGTTGTGTGCACAGAATGTTGCATTTTTGGGAACACAACTGTGGGCCATGTTCTAGAACCCCGACTTGAGTGTTCACACCGAGCTGAGAAGACCTCGTTAACTGCTGAAAGGACGAGATTGGTCTGTTTTGCTCTAGAACAGAACCCCCCTGACCATGACTTTGGAACGTGGGACCGCGTTCTAGAATGTGGCACATGGCTTCCTCTAGAACCCAGGATTCTACATTAGCTCTGTAACAGAGACGAGATCATTCACTCTAGAACACAGCCCTACCCCCTTCATTTTAGAGCACGTACCCACCCTTTGTTCTAGACGGCTGTCTTCTCTCTTGCACATGGGACATGTTTATAAAGTGCTGATGCAGGGAGGAAAAGCAACTCTGAGCCAGAAATTTCAACCAGGCTCCATGGGGGTTTGTCAGCACTTCTGATATTAAGGTGATTTCAGATTCGATGAGCAAAACATAGCGGGGGGATCCCACCTCTCCAGACTGTTTGAAGCCTCTTGGAACCGGTCAGGAGGAGGTTTGCCAGTTTTGGTTGGATGTATTCCTGGGGGGATCCCACCTCTCCAGACTGTTTGAAGCCCCTTGGAACCGGTCAGGAGGAGGTTTGCCAGTTTTGGTTGGATGTATTCCTGGGGGGATCCCACCTCTCCAGACTGTTTGAAGGGCCCTTGGAACCGGTCTGGGGGAGGTTTGCCAGTTTTGGTTGAATATATTCCTGGAGGTTTCATCACCTGACATACTCTTTAATTAAAAATTAATCTTTAATTCCTGGAGGCTCCAGGACAATCCTGGAGGGTTGGCAACCATAGTGGGGGAGTGAAACGCCCCCCCCCCCCACCTGCCTTTTTGCTTTGTTTAATTTTGTATTAATTTCCCATGGCTCGAAGGAGTAACTCATGTGAACGGTCCAACACGTCCAAGAGCCACCCGGACCCCTGGGAGCCAGAGCAGAGTGACTGAGCCCCGACACTGCAGCCGGACAAAGGGAAAAGGAAATCCCGGTTCACACCCCTCCAGGGGCCTGGGTAGGCAAGTCAGTGTCACCCTCGTATGGTGCGTCCACTGCCCCCAGGCCTCCCTCCTGCACCACAGAGGGGAGCAGGGTGCGCATGGCCCGGGGTGCTGGCCCAGCCATCCGCCCTCTCTCAGGCAGCACTCGACAGGCGTAGGGAAGGGGAGACTGGGGGTGGAGATCTAGGATCCCTCCAGCCCTGGCTGCTAGGTCCCCGGGGGACGAGGAAGCATACACTGTGCTGTCGCAAATGGCTTGCCAGGGGCTCTGGTACGAAGGGGACGAGTGGGTCTGGATACTGAGACGACAGAAACTCACAACCTGGAGTTAATGAGGAAGAGCCCTATGGGCCCCAGGGGGTTCCCTGCCCCGGCCCGCCAGTCCCACCCCCTTTGGGGAAGCCAGCTATCGAGCTGCAGGACTGTTGGGGGCAGTTGACATGCCAGCCCTGGGGGAGGAGGGGCATTGAGGGCCGGAGATCAGCAAGGGCTGTTGGGTGAAACGCGAACCCAGCCAGCGGGGCCAGGCATCCCCGGTGGGACGTCCATGGTAGGCACGTGCTGCCCTGGGCACTGCTGCTGTGATGAGGTCCCCGAGGCCGCCTCCGAGCGGCTTGGGGCTGCGCTTACCTCCTCTTGCAGGCCCTGGCTCCGCGTGATGGCCAGGTCCTTCTCCTGCAGGGCGTTGGTGTAGTGCATGGACAGGTTGTACATCTCATCCTTCAGCTTCAGCATCTCGTGGAAGTGGGAGCTGACCTCCCTCTTCATGCGGTTGTGCTCGGCCTCGATGCCCCGCAGACACTTGTTCTGGGCCTCCAGCTGGGACACGCGGTCCTTCAGCTGGCGGCAGTGGTGCAGCAGAGACGCCTTCTGGTGCTTCTCCTGGGTCAGCTCCTCCTGCAAGCTGTTCACGGCCTTCGCCAGGCACTCGGTCAGCTTGGAGGTCTCGATCAGGCCTGCGGTGAGAGGAGATCAGCTCCGGCCAGCACGGATCAGCTGAGAGACCTCCCCGGCCCATGCTCTATAGCTCCTGCGTGCCACGAGCAGGCTCTGAGCCCCAGCCCCCTGCGCACCCCGGATCAGCAGCAGGGACGGGGCCCCGGCTCACTAGTCGCCGTATACATTTCACAGGAGCTCCCACTTCCTAGAGGCAGCCCAATGCCCTCCCAGGGCTCTGCCCGTCCCCTCCCCGGTGCTCCCCAGGGCAGGGAGACCGGAGGGACGTCCCTTCCCTAGCGGATGAGCGAGGTGATTTACGATGACCGTGGAACGTTGTTGTTGATTATTTTTGCTATGGTGGAGCCTACGGGCCTCAGTCAAGGCTTGGTGCCCCGTCGTGCTGGGTGCTGTCCGTGCGTGTAATGAACTGACGGTGCCTGTCCCAGAGACGCCCATAGCTCACCCCTCGGCTCTGCCCTGGTCCGGGGGCTGGGGCCAGTTTGCTCTACCAGTAACATTACAATAGTAACCAGGGCATTCTATGGACACAGGTTACGGCTCCTGCCCCGTATTCCACCTCATGCCCTCCACAGGGCGATATTGTGGACTGAGTCCAGGCAATGTCGTAATTACGACTGCAATGCGCTGGTGGAACGACCCAGCGCCAGTCCCCGGACCAGCGCAGAGAACAGTAGCTCCTAGCCAGTTCGGCACCAATCTCACGCTGTCCTCCCGTGCTGCCCTGCAGTGAGGGCTCGCGGCTGGGGGTTCCCCTCACAGCTGGCCTGGCTCAGAGACAGCTCTGGCAATGGGGGGAGACTTACCACTGAAGTTGTTGAGGTCAATGGAGGGCTCCAGGCCAGTTATCAGGGTGTAGGTGTCGGGGTTGTGAAGTTTCAGGCTTTCCAGGAAGGCCAGGGCTCCGTTCTTCCCCCGGGTTTTCAGAAGATCCAACATGTGGCCTAGAGATGGGTTAGAAAACCACAGGCTCGCTGACCACAGGCCTAGCAGGACCCAGAGTGCCCCTGGAGCCAGATGTGGGGACACATCCCCGCAAAGGCCCCGTTTTCGGCTCCAGCTGGTGTCTGGCTGGGCTGATCACCAGCCTGGCTCTGCAGCTCTCCCCAGGTCTGTATCAAACCCGCTCTGCGCGGCCCATGTTCATTAGTCACCTGACACAGCGTAATAGATAATAGACTGAGGCCAGGTGCACATGGGTGGAGCTGGGAGGGGGGATTCTCATCCCAGGTCTGCCCGCAGGCATCAGCCGGGCACGTCTCCATAGCAAGATACAGCAGAGCAGTCGAGCTGTGAGCTCCCCAGAAACGGTGAACGCGTGTAAACATGGACCAAGCAGAGAGCCTTGTCCCCAGCGCTGCCTGCCGGGGCGAGAGTAACGCCCTGGGGCGCCGCACCGGAGCTGCGACAATATGTGAGGGCAGCAGGCGCCGTTGTGCACCCAGGAGGCCTCTCAGCAAGCCCAGTGCTGTGCTAAGTGCACTGCCAGGTAGCAGCCCCAGGTCCCAGGGCTGGCCCCAGACTCTTGCTCCCCGTGGGAAGAGGTGACGCATGCAGCAACGGCCAGTCTGAGCAGCGGGGTAAGGGACAGCGTTTAGCAGCTCTGGAGGGGATCCCAGCCAGCCCTTGTCCATAAGCAGCAGCTCCAAGATGGGGCCCTCAGGCCGCGGCCGTGACCTGGGCCCTCAGGGAAGAGCCCTTGTCCCGGACACTCACCCACTCTCATGGCGCTGTTGGTGAACTGGGGGCCATGCAGAACCTCCTCCTCGTCCAGCTGGTCCAGGACCTTGGCCTGGCGCAGGTAGGGGGTGAGCCGGTTCGGGCAGGTGCTGCGCACGATCCGGTAGCGATGGCTCTCCAGAATCTCCCAGAGCTGCTCCTCATCCAGGTCCCGGAGCTCCGTGTCTGCCTGGCAAGGGACTGCCATCGCAGGGGCCTACCGGGGGCAGAGGAGGGATGGAGGTGAGAGAAAAGCAGGAGGAAGAGGAGACAAGAAGAGAGATGCTGGTGAAAGACCAGGCCCAGCCCTGGAGGGCACATTACGGGTTACCTATCAGTGGTCGCTGGGAAGACAAGATTCTTCATGGTGGTTTGGGACAATGTAGAATAACTATGGAATTGGAGAATTAGGGTTAGCGTAAATCTCTGTGTTGTGAAGGAAGGTCCTGCCTTGCACATGGCGAGTTATAAGGCCAGAAGGAATGACGGAGGGAGGACGTCTGGTTCAAAGACTAAAGAGAGAAGGGGAAGGTTCTAAAAGGAAGGCCTCTGACTGGCAGGGGTGACCACAGATGGTTTTAAACAAGACAAAAAGAATCTGTCTTAAAATGAGCCAGCACGGCCCTTCCCACCCCCCCACCAGCCTTATCAGACCCGTGAAGCCCGTGTGAACCAGGTGCAATGGAAAGCTGTTGGTCGGCAAGAAGACGGGGTAGAGACAAGGAGCAAAGGTCTTGGGAGAAGAAGGGTGTAAATCTGGACTGAAATTGGAACTGGAGCTGGTTGTTAGCTAACGTGGTAATCAGCTGTGGCATCATTTGTTAGTTGAAGGGTATAAAAAGTGTTCGGAATCTGAGGGGTTTTGTGCTGGAGCATGCCAGGATGGGACGGTTTTCCCTGGGTCTAGCCCATTTGCCAGCGTACTGATCACACGCTTGTGACACACGGTTACTGGATCTGGGTGTCGGGACTGCTTCCTTTTAGGCTCGTGGGCAGGGTTAGAGCAATTGTCTAAAATACCATTTGGCCTTTGGACTTAAAGGCGTTTGTGGTTAAATTAGTGTCTGGTGGGTTCCCGTGTTAATAGTAATCATTACTAATCATTCCAACTGACAGGAAGTGATGCACTACTGCTCTGCAGGGTGTAGCAGCTACCATGTTCCACCCCAGAGGCAGCTGCCTTCCAGCGGCAGGTGAAGTGATTCCGACACACACAGGTTGCACAGCACTGGATAGCCTCCTTGCTATTATTAGAGCCAACTGCATGCTCATCCCTATATATACAAACCGGTAAGGAGGGCACGGTCCCGGCCCCAGTCCCAAGGCACCTCCATTCTTAGTCCTGTCAAGATGGGAGGCACCAGATAACCATAAAATACCAAGCAATCCTCATCTGCCCAAGGTTCTGGCCCCTGGTTTATGTATTTCCAACAGTTCTTGCCCCGATATTTTCAGCAGGGAAAAAACAGTGAAGCAGGAAGAAAGTGAGGTTATTTAAAAGGAGAAAAGCAGCATACCCCAGAGCTTCAGGAAAAGGGGCCCTAAGCCCGTCACCAGAACCCTGCATTCCTGTCCTCACCCCCCACGGCCCCATAGCCCTGGTCTCACCCCCTGGCTCCCTCGGGGAAAGGGTCCCTGCCCACACCTGGGACACAGGAGATGGAATGAACACACCAGTGTGGTTTCCCTCTTCCCCTCCTGCAGCTATCAGTGCCGGGCTGGGGTCGTGTGGAGCAGGAGGGCTGGGGTCGCGTGCAGCAGGAACACAGCTCTGCCGTGCTAGAGGGGCTGCTGCTCCGGTGCGCGGGTCCCTCGCACAGGGCATTTTCCCCTGGGCTCAGAGGGGCACAAAATCCAGTGGGGAGGGAAACGCCTCTCCTCAGGAGCAGGGACAAAAACCCTTTATGCGCACGAGCCTTGGCTGGTACCTGTAGCAGGGCAGACCAGGAGCCGCGGGGGATGAGCACAGCCCAGCCCTGCCTGCTGGGGTAGTGGCGCTTGCCCTGGGCCAGCCTGGGCCCCACTCAAAGGCCTCGGGGGCTGCGTCACGTGACGGTGGATAGGATGGAGGAAGCAGACCTGCTCACCCCCCTCTGAACCCTGGGAACTGCCCTGCGCAGAGCTGGCTCCCTGCTCCCTGGCTGGGAGAGCTGAGCCAAAAGGGGGCGGGGGGAAGAGACCCAGCCAGAGCCTCCGTGGCCCCATGCAGCAGCCATGCAGGGAAAGCAGCAGGCCTGGGAGAGCAGGCCAAGCGAGGGGCTGTGCCCGGACCGTGAAGGTGCAGGTGGAGCCATGGGGGTGCAGCAAGGGCCAGGAGAAGTTAGACCTCACGTCCTGCCTCCCGCCATGGCTCTAGCCTATAGGCCATTTCTCTTCTGGTGAGGGCAGCTCCGCTCGGCCGGGCATCTGAGTGAGGAGTTTTTGTAGGCAGGCCCCTGTGTGAAGCACATGGAGGTAAAGGGGTTATTGGCTGTTGTGCATGTGGCCATGCCTTCGCACCGATACCAGAACAGTCACTGCACGCGCTGGTGACGCCCACTCACCCTCAGCGCTCCAGGAGCACGAGGCTGAAAAGAGACCCCCTCCCCCGCCTCTCCATAATGGCGGGAGCTCACAATGCTCATCTCCTGCGGCTCCCAACAGTCCTCCAGCAAAGCCAGGGCAGGCCAGCCCCGACCTTCCGCTAGCTCGCAGGGCCACAAACCCAGCCTTGCCCCTAGCCTGTGCAGAACACCTTCCAAGCTAGCAATGCCCACACAGGCTGAGCGCCAGCACAGCAGTAAGGAGGCGGCCTCCCCTGCTTTCACCCAGGCCTTTTGCTCTTTAAACTCACACTTGGCCTTGGGAGACACCCGTCGGGCAGCAGCAGGGCTCCAAACTTGGCCTCCTCCTGGTTCCTCATTCCAGGAATAACTGTGGGAGTCTCTGCTAGCTCCCAGCAGCGGCTGCCTAGGAGGCTGGGTTCCAGGGCCCAGCAGCTGTTCGGAGGAGTGCCAAGAGGCCCTGGCGTAATCCTTTGTTTTGCTCAGCAGCCAGCAGTCTTCAGGCTGGGGGTGTCACGGGGCGAGGAGCACGTCCAATGATCTGTAGCTGAGTGTCTCCTGACGCACGGACATGCCGCTACCCGTGTGCCTGACCCCACGCTCAGGTGGACGGGGGTTGCCCACAGGATTACCGAGCACTTTACAAACATCAGTCAGCCCCCGCCCCTCCCAAGCCAGACCCCTTTAAACATGTTTAGTCAATGACCCGTGTTTCCCAACGACACTTTGCAGGAGTCAAACGCTGAAGCTCTGCACGGCAGGAAAGACTCGGCGTCTCCTCAAGGCAACCAGGAAACCAGCAGGCTCAGACTCTCAGACTTTAAGGTCAGAAGGGACCTTTGTGATCATCTAGGCTGACCCCCAGCACAGCGCAGGCCCCAGAACCCCACCCACCCCTCCTGTAATAGACCCCAGCCTCTGGCCGAGTTACTGACATCCTCAAATCAGGGTTTAAAGGCTTCAAGCTCGAGCTCTCCAAGGCGGGATGGGCTTGGAGATGCTCGAGTTAGAACCGGAGCTGGGGGGAGGGCTGAGAGTCAAAGGGCTCGTGGCTCAGGCTGGGTGCTACAGGGCTGGTGCCGAGGGATTCTCCCCTCGCGATCTCGGCACAGTGAGACACCGAGCCGGAGCTGCTAGGTGAGGAGGTTAGTTCCCTGAACACTGGAACGTGCGAGAACTCGGCAGCACCAGGACTGGGAGCCGGGACAGTGGGGCTGTACTCAGCTCTGCCCCGAATCACTGACTGACCTTGGGCCTTCATTTCACCCCCTGCCCCTACAACGGGAGAGCGATGGCCATTGCCCAGGCCACTGCCGGCGTAAAGTGCTGTGGGGCAGAAGGGGAAGGGTCTCTTCTCCCAGGTGGGATGCTCTGGGCCCAGTGAGGGAGCGTCCCTCGGCTCCTGGACCAGCTCTGCCCCTCCAGCCGCTGCAAGCCCTGTGACCTTTGCCCCCAGCCTCCTCTCGCAGAGCAAACTGGCCCCGTTAACCAGCCGCCTTCCCACCTGAGCGCCAAGAGAGCAGAGGCGGAAGCCAAGGCGCTGGCAGCCCTACCTGTCCCCAGCTGGGTGTCTGCGCTGGGCCGCGTGTGCTTAGGCTCTGGGGCCGTGGCAGCAAGTGATACTGGAGGAACAATCGGCTGCAAAGCAGGTTTGTCAAGAGGGCTGGGTCCTCCAAGGGAGATGAGGCAGCCAGCAAGCAGGGCCTGTTTCCTTCCAGGCAAGCTGAACTAACAGCGGGATAGACAGTCCCTGTCCAGCACGGCAGAGAGCTAATGGGGGGCTCCCCCCCGCCCCCGAGACTGCTGTTATTTAGTTTATCAGTGAGGGGCGGGGGTGAAATGAGCAGAGGCCTTGACTACTTTGGTCAATCAAGAGCCGAGAAGGAACTTGTGCTGGACCTCCCATCGCTACGGGAATAGGCAGCACCGCGGCAAGTGAGATTCGGGGACGACAGGCGTCAGGTGAGGATGATGCACCTTGGTGGGAAAACTGGAGCCATTCGTATGCCTAGAGCCAGCAGCTCAGGCAGGAGGTGTATTTAACAGAGCCGGGGAAGCGCTCTCAGTCCCTGTCCCCATCCTCACCTGCTGACCAGCTCCACACCACAAAGCGAGGAGGGGTGGGGAAGAATAGAACCCGCTGCGCACGGAGCCCAGCTGTCTGCCTGTGGCTGCTAGCTTGGGAGATGCAGCACTCGCAGGGTTCAGGTCGGAGCGCAGGCGTTGCTGCACCGGTTAGAGATGGCAGGTTGTCTCCCCAGGGATTCCAGCCGGCAGACGATGCTGGAGCTGCAGCAAGGCCTGGGACTTTAAAACAGGACGTTCAGCCAGGTTCCACGATTGTCCTGACATGACACCGCAGTTCATCTAGCCCCAGCCCCACGGGCACTGGGGCAGCAGCCACGTACGGGACTCCCAGGGCTACATTCAGGGGCACAGCGCAATGGCGTTTCAGTTGAGGCCCCCACGTCTCCCATTCCGCTACAGTGCGCGTCACACGTATTTATGGGCCCGTTCGCCAGCTCAGACTCCTTCCTGTGGGAAAGGCTTCCCCACCCCCCCACTTATGCAGCAAGCTCTGAACTTGTCCCAGGCGACGACACCGCTCCCCCTCGGGCATTCCTGGGACATGTCCGGCGGAGTCTCATCACGCACAGCTTCGGGGATGGGACTCGCCCCGTGATTTTTTTATTATTTTTTTTACTACTTGCAAAAAATTCCTATTTTGGGGTGGGGGGAGCTCCCTTGCTGTAGGATTCTAGGGCGTCAGCCGTTACTGGCCCCTTCCCCTCCCCGCTGCCGTGTGCAATGCCGAAGAGCACCACCACCCGACCTGCTGCCTGGTGCTTGTCTGTGCACACACAGCTCTGCCGCTGCCCAAGTGAGAGCCTGCCCGGGAGCTCCCGTGGCGTCACGCCGCCATGAGCCAGGAAGTGCATCCGACCATCGATGCCACAGGGAAACTGACTGCACCAAGCGCTGCCCACTGCACAGGAAGCGAACGCGTGAGAGGGGGAATCACCCAGAAAACAAGGCCTGCCCCTTGCTGCACGGCTGTACATCGCTCAACAGGCGCCAACCTGGCAAAGGCAGCTCAGCACGACCCCCCTCTAGCCATTAATAGGCAGAGAATTTATAGACAGAAACTTGATTTTCAAGTCACCGACTCCCTTCTGCAATAATCGTGTCCCTCGCTCCCGAGCCAGAGAGAATGGGGTTAACCAAAGCAGCCTACCGGGGTGAGGACAGCCCATTCCAGCCAGACTTGCCCCAACCCCGGAATGCCGGGCAGGTGGGGAAATCCCACTTGGCGTCATCTGGAACTCCCGGGAGTCGCTCTGCCCCCATGGCGTAGACGGGCAGATCAAGTTACTCACTGGAAATCCAGGGTTGCAACAGACAAACTAAGAGATGGCACCATGCCAGGGTGGAATCCGTGCCAGCGAGCCAACAACACAGGCACCTAGAGTTGCTCATTGAAACCTGCCAGAGGGATCCAGAGCAAGCGGTTTCTTAGCGGGATCTTCCCCTCAAAGCAGACCAGAATAGTCCTGCCTGTCCCGGCGCCTGAGGACAGGCTGGTATCTGGTGAGCATGGGCTGCCAGGCAGGGTCCAGTGGAATTGCTTTTGGGGAACAAGGTCTGTTTGCAGCGGATTTTACTCTGGGCCAATAAAAGATTCACTGGGCTTCATTCCAGCCTCCCTCCCCCACTTTCTCCAGCTCAGTACAGCATTTCCCACAGCTTGGCTGGCACCATCTTGGCCTCGCCCTATGGGAGGGATGAAGGTAATAGGGGCGTTAGTACTCTCATAACCGGGTGGAGAGAGGAGATGACCCCATCTCTAGGAATTTTGAGTGAAACAATAGAACTCTACAGGGGGGAAATATACTCCACAGGAAGCAGGATAGCTCAGTGGTTTGAGCATTGGCCTGCTAAACCCAGGGCTGAGAGTTCAATCCTTGAGGGGGCCACTTAGGGAGCTGGGGCAAAATCAGTACTTGGTCCTGCTAGTGAAGGCAGGGGGCTGGACTCAATGACCTTTCAAGGTCCCTTCCAGTTCTAGGAGATAGGATCTCTCCATTAATTTAATCGGTGAAAAGCTCGGGCAGGGAGCCAAGGAGCCCCAGAGAAAGGTGGTCAGTGTTATTTTTTTTTTTTACATTCTTTAGTGCTGCACAAGGGCAAATGGCAGGAAGTTGAGTGGCTGCGCAGGAAGGATTTGGGGAACAGACTTGTGGCTGTTGTGAGGTCAGTGACCGCATGTGCATTACCTAGCTCCGACTCCTGACGCAAATTCATCTCCGTTATTACACCCGCACCCCCAGCACTGTGCCTTCACCCTCCCAGCGAAGAACCCACATCCCGGCAACTTCCATCCTCTGCAACTCAGGGTGTTTGTCTTGTAGACTAAGACCCTTGGGGTAGGAACTGGTTTTTCTCTCCATCTTCACTGTGCTGAGCACAATGTCTGCTCTGACAAATGAACAGGAACCACGGTACGGCTCCCACAGCACAGGGGAGAGCTTAAGGGGATATTTAACCAAACATTAGGAGCTTAGAGCCTGATCCACATTTGGCTTTGAAATATCAGATGCCCGGTGCTGCCAGCTGCAACACGAAGTTCAGTGCAGACTCTGGGTGGATGTGGGTCAGGAATGCAGCGAGCTGGGGGGATTTACGTGATGAATTCCAGTTCTTCACCGTCAGAGCGAAGCACCCTCTGGGCTTTTGATCCTGACGTCCCTGTGTGTGTCAGCTCTCTGGACTGGACACGCACTGCAGAAACGGCCCATTCGGTGAGAAACACCTTACCAGGCAGGAAAGGAACCTGTTAACAAGCACGGGCTACAGACGGCATTTATGTTTATCTTTTACCTGTAACCTTCTGTTGCCAAACCCTCCCACTTGCTTTTATTTAAATCTTTAGCCCAAGCTTTGGGAAATGCACGTCTAGTTGGGTTGACCGTAGCCCCGCCTAAGTGCCTTGTGCTAAGGAGGGTGCTGACCTGAGGCGAAAACACAAAGCTGAGCTGCACTGCTTCCATGGAGACAGCGGCCCAGTGCACACTGCGGGTGTCCCGGAAGACAGGGGACGAGGCCCGCGGGTGTAACAACGTGGGGTGTGTAACGTGGTAGTCTGCAGGGGGAAAGAGCGAGCTCGCGGAGCGCCTGTGCTGCCAGCAGCCGGAGGCTGGGGAGCGGTTCCCCTGGTGGGCAGACAGGGCTCCCTCCTGCTGTGAGCATGGGACAGCGATTCACAATAGGCACCTTGGGTAAGTTGAAAAAAATGCTATATGTGGGGCCAGCTAGGAGAGGACCATCCTGGGGAGAAGCCCAGCATCTGCCCCAGGGAGCCTGGGGACCAAGTCACCTCCTGGCACCAATGAACCATCTGACTCCGCACACAAAGTCCGCACGAGCCAAGGTCAAAAGAACGTTCACGGTGGCCCTTTATTAGCAATAAATCCCCCAAGAAGAGCAGGAACTCCACTGCACAGTGACGAGACCTCCACAGCCCGTCCGTCTGCGCTTCTCTAGGCCAGGCGGACTACGCCCCACATCCAACACCCAACGCACAGACACAGCAGGGGAAGGCACCCCCCCATTCACCCCAGCAGTGGTTCTCAACCTGCACCCCCTCAGCACACAGCTGTGGCCCACGTGACATCCCCAG